TGTGCTGATGATAATAGTTATGGTGACAGCGACGGAGCTGACATCTTGTCAAAGGAGAGTCAGGGATCAGGAACGGGGCCGGAAAGCTTCAGCACTGAGACCCTTCGGTTGAGACCCTTGCCACTGAGACTGCGAGATCTGATGTTGAGACGCTTTCGGCGGAGACCTAGAATTCCGGCACAACTGGAGACCTCTCTAGCTGATAGTTGACTGTCTTCGTTGTGAGTATGGGTCGATCTACAACTTGTGGTGTCTATGGTTCTCCGCGCGGTCATACTGAGTCGCGCATAAACGTTCCGCTACTAAGCGAGGCGATTGTATGCCTACCTACTACCTGCGTTTTGTTTTCCCAAGTTATACCACAAGCGGGCTAGCACAAAGCCGTCAGAACTCTCTCCTACATGCAAAGTAAAAAGCTGTGCAACTCCAGTAACGGTGTCGACGTAAGCGCCTTGATGTGCAACTGTATGGCCAAAACATGTCTGCCAACACCGTGTACGTCTCCCCTTCCATCGTTTGTAATCAGATACCCTAACAAAATGCTCAGATGGTCAGAGGAAACAATGGGGTTTACCGGGTATAGGTTGGACGTTGCACGAATGGAGGCAATACTAAGAGGGCTAGTTGTAAGACAGAAAAACGACACTAAGGCATTGTTCGAATTCATGTAGATAGATATAAAGCATAAGATAATAGGACCGTGTCCGTTGCGTCTAAGCGTGTCCGTTGCAGAAGCCGTACTCCAGCGAAATATGACCAAATTATCATTGCATCTTACCAGGTAAGAACACAAAAGACGTAGCATTTCAGTCTGTCCTTATGCAAAACATTTATTTACGTCACTTTACGAGTCGCCGCCGGGTGAAGACTTTAACGCAAACTCTGCATCTGTCATTGCTGCTCAACGCTGATCCTCATAGCGAAGGAATCCAAGACCTCCCTCCCTTTGGTGACTACACTACACCATCGGCGGTAGTCATAAGTACAGCTCTTGAAGACCTTCCGCCTTTGCTATACGACCCATCTACTGGTGCACCTGAACAGCAATATTCTGAGGCAGACTTTACCAGTGCGGAGGGGGGGGGGGAAGCTGATTGTCTACCGCTTCCAAGCATTCAAGGCTCGCAGCGCGATTTGATTGACAGCGCTGTCGTCAATGATGAGGGCATCAATTCAGTCCGGCGGTAAGTGGAAATCGCACCTCCACCTGAAAACTCGTATGCATCCGTTTGCAGCCTTTTTTTCGCAAGATGTTGCCAACATTAGGCGAATTATCGTAGGCGAAACTGTCGACTCGCACCGCCATGGAACTACTCTTGAAACCCCTACTAGCAGATGGGTTCTACTACCGATGGGATGTTGGACCGGACTCGCAGCGACTGCTGTACTAGTTTTGGGTTCGCCCAGGAACCCTTGCTCTGTTTCGCGACATTGCGATATAATTGGAATGGATTGCACATACAAAACCAACAAGTACATGCTACCGTTATTGAACATAAAAGCTTTAACGGGGTTTCCCACGGTTCTTTCCGTTGCACAGTGCTGGTTACCGAGACAGAGGGAACAAGACTACTTCTTGGCAATGGATGCTTTTCGGACTTTCTTGGATGAAATGAAAGTTTCTCTGCCGTGCGTATTCCTCACCGACAGAGAACTGAAGTCGATGAATGCTCTAGATAGAGTATTCGAAGGTAGACCAGCACTCATTTGTAGGTGGTACATGAACAAGAATGTCATCAACAAAGCACGCTAAGTGCTGGGGCAAGTATCTGTCCTGAACCCGGCTCCAGGTCAACCAAAGCTTGAAAATACCTTACAAACGGATGCTTTCCTGGCCGTATAGTACGCTGCCGTAGATGCAGTCACTGAAGAAGTGTTTGAGCTGAAACGAGGAGAAACGAAACGTCTGTGCCCTGCTTTATCGAGCTACCTGGATAACCGTTGGTGGAAGTCCAAGGATCGTATTGTGAGAGCGTGGACAGATCGCTATGAGCGTTTTGGTATCCGGGACACCTCGTTTGTCGACAGAACGCATGCAAAGTGCAAGGTTTGGCTTCGTAGTTGTCGCGGGGGTTTAACAACAGTTTACAAGTGCATCCTACCTTGGTGGGAAACCGCAGCTTCAATTACACGTCTTCTTTTTCAGCGAAATGCTGTCCGAGTTCCTTACCTGCTGCAAGGAAATCGATTTGCAGTCGTAGCACCAATTATTTCGGTGTGGGCGCTTACGCAGAAACATACTCTTTGGGAGGAAGCGCGTAGGGTAGTGTGCAACAGGCTGGATCGAGATGAATGTTCGGGTGTTTTCAAAATTGCTCACGGCAGGCCATGCGTACACGAGCTTATTGCCCTGACAGAATCGAATAGCGCGCTCGTTTTACGACCGACAGATTTTGCTTCGCATTGGTGGATGAACCGTGAACAGGCTACAGCAGTTCCGCTACGAATACAAGAAACGCTCTATAGCGAAGATGCTGCTGTGATGAGACGCCAACGACGTAGTCCTCGAGGAAATTCGAGACTTCCTTACGGCATCCGCAGAGACCCAGTTTTGTTTGAACGTGTAGACCTGACAACCCCCAATATCGCATCAGAGAGACGTGGAAACTGATCAGCCGACCATCGCAAGCCTGCCAACTTTCCAAGAAATGCTAACGGCGGCTATTACAGAATATCAAGAACAACGAATTCCACCGCGGTTTTGGGGGGTATGCTCGCTGGGGATAGATAAATTAATACAACAACATGTTATCTTATCTTCAAACAGAAAATATCTAGTATAACAGCGAATATCTTATTTTTGAACAGAGCGGCCAACCTGTATTGAAATTGTAACTTGCTGGCTAACTAATCAGCCGTACGCTTCGTGTTGCATTCACGGAACACGTGCGACCTGTAGGCACCGCTCTTCGGAAACGTTTCTCCACATAGAACGTATAGTACATTCTGTTGGATGGTCTGGATTCTGAAGAAATCATCCGATGTCTGCAAAACATATTTTGACCTAAAAACTGGCCTGCCTGCCTGCCCTGTTGAAATGGCTCTCCTTCCAAATGGCCCTCCTTAGTTTTGCCCCACGAATGGGTATGGTTTAGCCAAAAGTTTGCGCTGTGGAATCGCTGGTGTACAGGTACTAATAACGAACGGGATAATACAGAGGATGGACATTTGTTCTTGGTTTTACTCCTATATTCATTATTAAATATTTTGTTTGCGAGTTGCACCTTTCGTTTTACTAGTACGAGCAAATATGCTTTCCAACAATATTGTTAGCTTCAACGAAGCGAACGTAAAAATGACCTAAGCTGTCGAGGCTTCTCCTACCCAATCTAACTACAGTAACACTTCGACACCGGGAAACTACGCTTTCGTCTGCAACTTCTCTAGCCTTGCAATTGTCTCCGTTGCCTCCGTGTAGTGCATGCACCATTAGACCCAGCCAGCTCCAGCTATAAGTTGAAGCTGCAGACTACAGATCTCAGGAACAGATCGACAATGCTGTTTACACGTTCGTCATCCTGGATGACAGGATCCCCGTAACGCCACACGTGATGACAGGCCTCGTGTCCAACCACTGCGGCTGCAGTTCAGCTACTACAACCACTACCATGTAGACTAGTAGCTCTCACTTCGCTATTTACTATCGAATATACCAACGGCTAAAACTTCCTGGGAGCACTGCCGGCTCCCCCATCATGTGTTTTCAGTTCCTGATTCACCACACTCCGCAATCTTCAATTTAGTTGCTTGATCGGCACAAAACTAGTGGACACGACACCATGTTAACAACTTTTACATGTTTATTCTGAACATTATACATGTAAAAAAAAAATGCTAATCGACAGCTATTTTTGGAAGCCATGGTTGTCCAAAGCAGTTGGCCACAAACATTCGAAACTTGGTCCGATGGGCTTTCGGAAGCGTATAGTTTATTGGGAATTTGAAGTTTTCACCACTGGAACTCGTCTAAACTAGTGGCGCCATTAATGTCATCAAAGTGTTACGCTTGTTGCGTCGATTCTATCATTAATGTACAGCGTGTTCGCAAAAAGAATAGTAGCAAAACCGGATTCAGAACTGCACGCCGTAGCTTTAGTGTATTGTTTTAGTGTAGCGCTAGGTTAATAGTCGTCTTACTGCCGGATACGATAGCACGTCCATTTATTTACCGCCGTAGCATAGCTATATTACTTAGCAGAGAAGCGACGCGAAGCCAAGACGACGACAAACGCATCGGATAGACAGAAATCAGTTTTTTTTTCTTTCGAAGTCAGTATTATCCTATTTGCGTTTACATCCGCATTTCGATCCCTCGTTGGGATCCAGCCAAATATGAAAGAATATTCAAACGGATTTACGTGTTACTTTTGTATGGTATGAAACTGTGTGTATAGAACACAGCACATGGGATGAATTTTACTTCGTAGCGGAGCATATTGGCACTTCAGCAAATTACGCCAAGAAGCAGCGGTCTCGTGACAGTAGTGACTCACTTGACATTGGACGACATTAGTAATCAAATAAGTCATTACTCCACAAGTAATAAAGCGGGAAGTTTTCTATCGAAACCTCAGCATCGTATTGAACACCAGAAACACTAGGACAGACACTCGTTGTATCGAAGTGTTGTCTGGTTACGAACAGAGTCGTGCCTTTAGTGGATAAATCTAAAAAAAAATACTACAAAGCAAATTCTAAATGTTAGTAGACCCTGGTAGCCATTTGGATGGATGCAAGTGTTTATGCAAATGTTTTCAACATCACAAACTCGTCGAGCACGGCCTGATTCGAACTGTTTAGAAACTTCCACGACAGCATCGATCGGTTCGCGTCCAGTGAAGGAAAACCATAGTCGACGTAGTTGGACACTACATTCCACGTCACATTATTGCCGGTGGGTGCTGGATCAAGTCCCTCCACAGTTCCACAAGCGCCAGTTAAAATGTATACGGGTGCTTTGGGGTTGTTGTAGCGCTTAAAGTCGCTCGAGACACCATCCACTACGGCAGTGCTGTTGCGAATAGGCATCTGACGCTCGTAATAGTGCTGATGCCCCATCAACACCACATCCACCTTGTATTTGATGAGAAGATTTTCAAACGCAGCCTGAATAAAAGCGTTCTGCTCCATAGGTATTCCTCCTGGGCAGCCGGAAACATCGTAGAGGGGACGGTGCATGCCAACGATGACCCAAGGCACATTGGCTCGGTTCTCATCTGCCTTTTTGAGATCAGCCTCGACCCATGCCAACTGGTCTCCAAAGTGGCCGATTTTACTGGACCACGCACTACTAGGCTCGCCTACGTAGTCCGTCTCTGAGGAGATCGAGGTAAAGTGGATCGGTCCGTGCTCGAACGAATACCACATATTCATAGCACCACCAACCTCCTCGGACGGCATGTGGAAACGGGAGTTATAGGCTGTGTAATTTTTCAGCATACTCATTCGCTCAGCGGATTCCCCGCAGGCGGGAGAGTGGCAACCAGCCTCATGATTCCCGACTAAAACCATATACGGGACTGAGCTCATTACAGGGGCCATCGAATTCATCCACCCATTGTACACCTTCTCGTAGAAGAACCCTTCGAACTGGCCTGGCATCAACCATGCGTCATCAGCATAACTAATGTCACCGATGTGGAAAATGAAGTCCACGTTATCCGCGTTCAGTGTGTTCACGTAGGCGAGCGTGTCCTTGGACTCGTTGCCGGCTCCAAAGTCACCGTAAATCAGCATGTTGAACGTACTTTCGTCCGATGCAGCACGAGCCGTCACGAACGAGTACACGTCGCTGGTGTGCGCCGCGTTAGCATTGCTTCCCACTTTGTAGTAGTATTTGGTATGTGGGGTTAGACCAGAGATCGTCGCATGGTGGTGGAACAAATTGTATGTTGCATCGTGGTAGTAGTTAATTTGCGTAACGGGAGTGTCCACCAGCTCCAGAGTATCTTCAGAGCATCCGACCCAGACAGAGCTGCCGTCGATATTGGCGTACGTGGCCCACGACACCGTCATGGCAGTTCCAGCAATCTTGCCAGCGTACGCGAGGTGAATTTGTTGCGGGTAGTAGTCCACGTTGTCTTTTACACGGCAAGGTTGGGCGTCGCCACCAGTAAGATCGCGCAGAGCTGTCGGTAAACACGTGGTGGAGTCCCAGAAACAATCCGTATTGTTTAGAGTCACTGCAGCATGTGCAGTGGCGGCAGTGAACCAGATCGCGACCGCTTTCAGCATCGTGGGACAAGTAGATGTATCTCTGTTTGTGGTCGAGCTGGTAAATCTCAGAGTTACTAAAGCATGTTGTAATAACTACGGAGCATCTGTGATCTTCAGTGGGCATGATGGTATTGTTGAGCAAACACACTACCACCCGCCAATACGACAGGGGAGCCAGGGAAGGTGTTGGAGTAGCATATGATGATGGGATACATGGCTAGCAGGTGATGATGGGATACATGGCTAGCAGATAATCACATACACATTGCTGTGATATGGCTAAGCACCCATAATCCCATCTTGCGTAAAATCCCACCTGGGCGTTTCCGTCGGCCCAACGGAGTTGTATATTGGAACGACCATGCAAAATTTGTGGTGTAGATCATGTAATCTGAACAACCAGTGTATAACGTACTTATACGAGCACTAAGTAGCAAGGTAGTACTCGGGGGAGTATGTATACTGCACAGGCCCATATCTTGTATAATGTCGCTGCACACAGCGTTCAGTCTCCGCAACTAATTATAGTCAAGTTGGTGAATTCTTCGATATCATTCAATAATATCAGTAGATAGATCACTCTGTTGCCCGATTGTGCTGCACGACGTATACCAATGGCATATCGTCACTCGTTCCGGAGACGTTCCGAAGGGATTTGCGCAAAAATGGGATTCCGGGTATTTTATACGGTCTCGGGGCATGTTTTGTGCTACACGTGCAGCATTGTCTCGGAAACTGATATAGTCATCTTGGAGGATGGTCTCACTGCTATCCATATTGGCATGGATGCGGCGGGGGGG